CCGCTGCGGCCGAAGAGGCCGCAGCCGCAGCAGCAGCTGCAGCCGCGGCAGCGGAGGCCGCGCTGTTGAGCCCCGCGGCGGCTGCGGGCGTCTGGTAGAGGCCCGGGTGGCGGAAGCTGCACAGCAGCTCTGGCCGCGAGTAAGGGTGCGAAAGGGCACGGAAGGTGTCCAGCGGGCGGATGGAAGTGGCGAAGGGCGATGAGGCCGCGGCCGCAGCTCCGGAGGCCGCAGCAGCCGCAGCCGCAGCCGTGACGCCCACGTGCGGATAGTAGTGCAGGGGCACGTGCGAGTGGAAGGGGTAGGGCAGGCTTCCGGTGGCGGCCGCGTGCGTCATCATGTAGGTGTAGAAGCTGGGGTCGGCCGGGTGCGGCCACGACATGGCCAGGCGCTGCCGCTTGTCCTTCATGCGCCGGTTCTGGAACCACACCTGCGGGGAGAGCCGCGCCGCGGCCCGAGTTAGGGAGCACCTGGAGGCCCCAGCCGGCGTCCAGGGCCTCCCTGCGCCTCCTGGACCTCTGGATGATCTGGCCTACCCACCTCTGACCGGGCCCAGCTCCCAGTCCCCTCTGCTCTCCCAGCTGGCACGGTGTGGGAGGCAGTGTGGCCCGCCGTGGGCACACCTTCCTTAGCGAAGAGAGACTTCTCTCCTGTGTTCGACTGCTGCGGCTCCTCACGCTTCTATTCCCTTACTTTGTGCTGCGGTTTTTCGTCCCAACCCAACTTTTCCTTTCCTTCCCGCCACCCGCCGGTGCCCGGCTTCGCTGAGCACTGGTCTCTCAATCCCAGGATTTGCACAGGGATTGTATGCTGCCTTTAAAGAGAGGCTGCGGCGGCAGCTTTTATAAATAAAAGGTCGCCTCGCGAGGTGTTGAGTCCTCTGAGCTGCAAAGACCTGCCCCAAGGGGCATGGGTCCGATTTTGAAATTGAAGGGATGATTTTGTTGGAATCATTTGCCTCCAGTGAGCGGCAGGAGTAACATCCTCTGAAACTGGGAAGGGGACTTTTCTACCCCTCCCAACCCGGTATCTAATTAAGACATCATTCATCACAACTTTAAATTAAAGAAAGCCCGAGCAAACCGAACGGAGACTTCCACACCTCTCCCCTATCCCACCGAGTTTCCTCTTTTTGTAGCGTGTCGGATTCTCCGTGAAGCGTTCACCAAGTCGCCCTACCGCCCATCTCTCTCTCCCGGACGTATAATAAAATTAATTATCTAAAATATATAAATAAGGACAATTTCATTGCGTTTTTCCTTCAGGAGTTTGCCCTTTACCCGGTCTCCAGGAGAAAAATGTTTAGGAAACTACTTTCTCAACCTAATCGATTTTAAGAACATAGTATTCCTTTCTCTGCGTTGCAACGATTTATGTGAAAATAAATCTCCAAGATCAAGATCAAATGAAAAGTTTCACGTCTGGTTTGTACCAGAGGAACAAGGATGAGCTGGTTCTGCCGCCAAGGGGAAAGTGCGGCCTTGGACATGGGCTAGGGGCACCTGGGCGTACGCGAGCGTTCGCTGCATCCGCTCCGCCATTCCGGGGCCTTCCCAGGTCAGCCAGACCTGCCGACCCTTCGGATTCGGCAGCTGAGAAATAGATATGCCAATTTCTTCGGTGACTCTCTCTGACGGGTTTTCAGGCCCTAGCTAAATCTAGCCACCCAGAAAGGAGAAACAAAAATCAATCTAGAGACCCCGAGGGAGGCTGGAACGGGCGCGTGCTGGAATCGATACCTTGATGGTGGTTTCGGGCAGGTTGAGCGCAGCGGCCAGCTCGCACCGGCGGGGCCGCGATACATAGTTCTCGCGGTAGAACTCCTTCTCCAGTCGTGCGATCTGTTCGCGGGTGAACGCCGTGCGGTAGCGCCGCACCTGATCTGCGCCAGAGCTGGAGCCGCCCAGCGCCGCTCCGCCGCCGCCGCCGCCGCCGCCGCC